AGTCTGCATTCCCCCCCAACCGGTCTCCTCTCTTCCTCTGGCTGACAGGTGGGACCCGCGGCCCCACCTGTCATCTCCTTCCTCCAGGCACTCCGCCGGCAACCGCCATTACCGCCCGCGCCGCCCACGTCGCCGCCTCTCCCGCGCGGCTCCTTTTCCCGCGCGTGCGTGGGCGCGGTCTCCGCCCACGTCCGCGCCGTTCTTCCCCCACTCCCCGTGAAAACCGCCGCCACCCCGAGCCCACTCACCCACGTCGCCAGCGCCCCTTTTCCCCTTCAAATCTGCCACCAACCGGCCTCCCCGTCGACTCTCGAGGCTATAAAAAGCATCCCCGGCCTCCCCTCTTCCACTTTCCCATTTTTCCTGAGCTCCCCGCGCTCTCTCCCGCTCTCCCCACGCGAGCCCAAGTGTCGCCGCTCACCAGCGACCCTCCAGCCGGCTGCTGCCGCCGCTGCCGCCGTTCCTGCGCCGCGCCGTTTGCGCCGCCGGCCTCGCCGCGCGTTGCCGCACCCTGTCCACCGCTCCGCTTCCGCAATAAACCACCCGGGCGCCGGTTTCACCGTGCACCCGAGTCACAGCCGCCTCTCGTCGCCTCGAGTCGCTCGCCACCGCCACCCCCATCGCTACCGCGCTGCGCCGCCACCGCCGAAAGGTTCGCTGTGCCTGGCTACATACCGGCATCCGCTTCGTTTCCCTAAATCGCCACCGTAACCACCCCTCCACCGTCGACCCGAGCCACCACCTCCGTGTGCCGACTGCAGCTGCGTCGTCCCGCTGCTTTGGTCGTCGCCAACCCACGCCGTCGCCTCCCTCGGCTCCGCAAGGACGAGGAGGTCCTCGGCCACCGCTCCCTGTCGCCCGAATCCTGCCGGAACTCCACCTCCATCGCACACCGGTGAGCACCCTCTGTTTTTCTTTCTTCCGGCCGGTGATTCACGCCGCCGGGAGTCTCCTCGTGCCTTCCTAATCCCGCCATCCCCTTCCCCAGGTCCTGCTGGCCCTCGGCCGTACCTCCGCAGCGGTCGGGAGTCGTCAGAGCGCCGTCCCCGACCCCAACCCGAGAAGCGCCGCCGCCAATCCTCGTCGTCGGCCGCCTTCCCGCCTTCGCCTCGCCGTCTCCGCCGTCTCGGTGAGCCCCTCTCCCTTCCCCGCCGCCTCCCGTGTGTGCCGCCGCCTCCAGCGCCGCTGCCGCCCGCTGCCGGCGACCATCGGGTCGAGCACCGCCGCTTTCCGGTCGGTCGCCGCCGCCCTGCTCGCCCACGGCCGCCCGGCCCCTTTGCCGCGCCGCGCCTGCCCGTGACCTCTCGATCGGCCGCCCTAGCCGATCTGGGCCGTCCACGTGGCCTCCCTGTGCCGCCCTGCGTGGGTGCCCTCGTGGTGCCACGTCGGCGCCACCTCCGCCCACCCGTCCGTCGTGGCCGCCACGTGTCTGCCACGTGGTGCGCCCGCGGACCAGCGCGTGCGTGGACTTGGTCCACGGTGCACCCGCCTCCCTTGAGTCACCGACGGGTAGGGCCCGCTTGTCGGCGCCATCCCTTCCTCTCGGCTGATGCCATAAAGGATTTAATTGCGCAATAAATCGATAATAATTCTAGAAATTCATTAAAATGGCTCAAAACTTCTAAAATCCATATCTAATTCATTCGAGCTCTCAAAACTTCTAAAATCCATATCTAATTCATTCGAGCTCCAAATTGAGCCATTCAACTTGCAAAATTCATCTAAAATTGAGCTCTACATATTTGTTTACTTTTCATGTACTGTTTCCTTGGTTTTTATTAGAGTTTTTCCTCGTTTTGTGTGCCAGCGTGTAGAATCCGTCGTTTCGGAAGATCGCGGTCGCAATGATAAGAGTTCGGAAGATTGTTTGAAGAAGCAAGGCAAGTCACACATTCCCCTTGAGCATGTTGATCCAAATTTATAAATGTTTTATTGTTTGCAAATAAATATGCTTCGTTTTGCTAATTACATGGGAATAGGGTTTACCTATCTGCTCGCTTGTGCCATGTTATTTGATATCTGTCCTTTGTCAATCTTGGGTGATAAATCGACTAGCTTGTGTTACTTTGATGACCTAGCTAGAACTATATGCTTAGCCATGCTTAATTACCACTAGCTCAGTAGATGGGATAATTGCAGTATTAGACATGTTAGTATCATGATGAGCTGCGTGCTCGAGACATCCGGCCATGTTTCATGGTCGTAATTATCCAACTAAAATACGACTGAATGGTGGGCTGTGGTTGCATGATTTTGCTGGTCGCACCCATGGCAAGTAAGGACCGGTTCGCGGGATGCACTGGAAGACATACAGCGCTTGCCACAAGCGGGAATGGGTAACTGCCTGACTTGAAGTATAGCTTTTCTCTGGCTGACGCATCCAGGCAAGGGTGGCGTGATGGAGCGGGGCGGGCCCTGCGACGGCCTCTGTCACTTCCGGATTTACCTAGGCACGAGAGGGGATTGCCCGCTACCTGCTGGGGGCGGGGGTGAAACCTGAGGTGTGGTGTGCTTGGTCAGAGCGGGTTATATGAAGTGTCTTGTCACAATCACTCGGCATGGTGACGTGTCCGGCCGGGCACGGTGACATGCCGGTGGATTGTGTCTTGTGGGTACAGTTGTGCACCTCTGGGCAGAGTAAAACTATTCGAATAGTCATGCCCGCGGTTATGGGCGATCGACCAGAATCACCGTGATTAGTCTCACACTTAATAAATCGACCCAATGCACTGTAGTTCAGGTGGGTTGGTTGGGCCTGTTCAACGTGGTGTAGCTTTAATCAGTGGAGATTTAATATTACTTTAATTACTCAACAGTTTTACCGTTTTGCTCAATAAAATGTTTTACAATCGCCTTTATGCAAATAGCCGCAAGCCATCCTTGTATCCCCTTGCACGTCTGCATCATTGGTGTGGCTTGCTGAGTACGGTGGTTGTACTCAGCCTTGCTATTATTCCTCCTTTTCAGAAGTGTAGTGCTTCTGAGCTGAAGACGAAGTTAGAAGACCAAGGCTTAGACCCCAGTTGAGTTTTGCCTGTGGAGTGGAGCTGAAGCCTCGCTAGGATCGCCTTTTTCCGCTGCTGCTGCTTTTGTTTCGGTGTGAGGACTAAGTATCTCTTCTGTAAGTATTTTACGCTTTATTTACGTTTGGAACTGTATATTACTTGTCGTTTTGTGTACCCTGGCTGGTCCTGGACAGGGATTTAATACACAAAATAGTCTAGAAAGTTGGGCTAAATTTCTGGGCGTGACACAACTATCCTAATGAACTGTGATAATCAAACAGTGATTATTAAGGTGAACAGTTCGAAGGACAATATGAAGTCATTTAGGCATGTAAAGAGAAGACTGAAATCTATTAGAAAGCAGAAAAACTCCAGAGTGATAGCACTGGACTATGTCCAGACAGCTAAAAATCTAGCAGATCAGTTTACCAAGGGGCTACCACGTAATGTGATAGATAGTGCATCGAGGGAAATGGGCTTGAGACCCACTTAGAGTTGCACAATAGTGGAAACCTATCCATTGTGATCGGAGATCCCGTGAATTTGGATGGCGAAACAAACTATTGTGTAACCGAGAGAAGAGACCCTTAAATGGGCTCATTTTCATGATGTACTTCTCTTCTATTCTGTATGGTAGGATGGCGTATGCCTCAATGTGTTCCGAGTGGCTTTCATTAAGCAGAGATGTTGACCTGCAGAATATCTTAGAAGGAACACAACTATATGAGTTCGACTGCTAGTCACAGTCTATGAGATTTGGGTGATCTCTAGATACTCATGAAAGGCCTGAAGTATGACTTATAAGCTCCAACCCGAGGGAATACTAACGGTTGCCTAGTATCAGTTATGGAATTGAGTGAAACCTAACTGCACAAGACTGACAATTCAAGGCATAGTCCATTGTTCAGTTGTGGTCAGGTGTAGCTCCTTTTCTAGGTGAAAGTTCAACTTAACAGTCTTCACTGAAACACTGGTATATAAAAGCTGCTATGGAATAAAGAGCATTCTCATGAGCCTTGGAATTTGGTGGGGATTGTTAGATTTAATTGGGTAATTGATCCATTTAAATCAATTAAATCAAATAAATTCCAAGTCTCATTATGCTAGGAATTCATGTGTATTCATTCTTTTATGGGATATCAATGGGATGAAGAGTTTTGAGAATTAATCCATTTGATTAGGGAATTGGTAACTTATATCAATTAGTTCTAATTGATGGATGGTTGATGGTTGTGTAGTGGAGGATGGTTCATGGCTAGTTGATGACAATTAGTTGCTCTATTCCTCTTCCTATTCCATTGGTAACTTACATCAATTACTCCTAATTGATTGTTGGTCGATGGTTGTGTAGTGGAGGATGGTTGATGGCTTAATTGATGAGAATTAGTTACTCTATTCCTCTTCCTATTCCATGACTCTTACTCTTCATCTTCCATTCCTCTTATAAAATGAGAATGGATTTGATCTCCCGCGAGAGAAGTGAGACACACTTTCATCCATTTTCCAACGCTGTTGCTGCTACGGTAATCCCATCCCGACGTATGTGCACACGCGTTGGGAGAGTAGGCCTCCGAAACCACGCGCTGCTGCGACGTTTGCACGGACGGGCGGGTGATCAGTTTTTTGGGGAGCGCAAGGCGTGACTACTCACTGTTCGTCAACATCTACTTCACCTTCACTAATATGTCGAACACTGGAGACAACAGCAACACTGGATACAAGGAGAAGGAGGCTCCCGTCAACACCAACGGAGGCAATATAGCCTCAAACTCCAGCGGAGGACCATTCTTGGGGTATAACCTTCTTACATTATTTTAATTAGAAGTTTTACTGTTAATGTTCATCGCAATGTCAACATTGTGTTATTACGTTGATGCTTATTCTACATTAAGCATGCTCATGTTGATTACATTCACCACTATGCTCATGTTGATTGTAAATATCATATTTATTATCTTGTTATTTTAGATTAAAATATGCCGAATTATGACCAAATTTTCAACAGATATTTCGAACATCACTCTCAAACAAAATGAAACAAATTCGAAGAAAGGTCGACTGCTACTCCCAGCACAGTCACATTCCAACGCGCCATGCGAGTACATGTGACCGGCCGCGAACTGCTCCGTGTAGCGCAACATTTCAGAGACGAAGCAGGCGGCGAGCGGGCGGCTGCTGCTGGGACACGCACACGAGCGAGGCGTCGTCGACGACGGGCCCGCACAGCGTCCCGTCCCACTTGGTGATGTACGTCGAGCTGACGAACACCACCCGCGTGGTGTTCGCGACGGCGGCGAACTCCAGCGACGCGCGGGTGTGCCCGCCCGTGCCCTGGGAGCTGTACGTCACGGTCGTGCACCCCTGACCCGCGTACCCTTTCACCTGCATGGAACCCACGCAACCGTCGCTGGCGTCCCCGACCGAGAACTCCAGCCTGTACGACCTCCCCGGCACGGTGCGCACCTCCTGCATCAGCGCCGTCTCGAGCCCGGACACCAGCTCCACGGCGCGCGCGCCGTGCGGCACGGTGAAGTGCGCGGAGTCGACGCACTTGACGGCCTTCGTGTCCGACATCACCATCCACCCCGGCAGCGGCGAGTGGTCGTCCTCTGAGATCGGCGGCACCATCACTCCCCACGCCGCGTTCGGGAACATGTACGGCCCCTCCTCGAAGTCCCCGTTTCTCAGCATGTTGTCTGCTCGACCAGTCAAGTTTCGTCCGTCGTCAGTAATCGCAAAAGGATCGAACATCATAGCTAGCCGCATGTTCGACGATGCATCTTACTCTGGGTGGCCTGAGGAGGGTACAGGGTCTTGATGGCGACGGAGTCGATGAGCGGGCCGCACGCGGGGTCGTCGTCCTCGCCGTGGTTGTGGATGATGAGCGACACGAGGCCGCGCTTGGCCTTGAACGCCCAGGCGTACGAGTCCCAGCCGCTGCTGGTGTACACGGTCTGGATGGGGAGCTCGCCGGACTCCGGGCCGGGAGCCACTGACACGTTCAGCTTCTCGGACTGGGCGCAGGTGCGCGCGGCGCTGAATGTGATGGAGTAGTACATGCCCCGGGTCACGCTGATCTGCTGCTCGATGGAGGCCTCGTTGCCCAGCCGCACGGCGTGCGCGCCCTCTGGCACCGTCAGCAGCATGTCGCCCTGCTTCTGCCCGGACGAGATGTACTCCACGAACCCGGTGATCTTCCAGTACGGGATCGCGTACTCCGCCATCACCCTTGTGCCGTTCATCTGTGACTTGCTCGGCTGGTACTCGAAGTTGCCGTTGAGCAGCAGGCCTGCATTGTGCATGAGTGACATGACTCGTGTAAGCAAATTCTAGTTTTTGGATCGTGCCAGGTTGCTCTTCAGAGAGTACTTGGCACGGTTATACTGAACCAGTTAAGTCGCGCTGATATACTATGATAAACCAGTGGATCATGACGATTTCGAATAAGTTATAACATGTTATGGTAACAAAACATTAACATGCATCAGCAAGCAAGTGTAGATGACTGGCTTATCACTACTTCAGGCTTTACCCATGCTTGTAAGTTGTAACGGCCGCATGGTCCCATGTTTTCACCATGATCCACGAGACGGCAGTTGAAACTTGAAAGTCGTTCTTGTTTCATGTTAGGATTATGGAATATTAAGTAGCATCTAGGTCTCACGTGATGAGATTCTTTACATCAGTAAATTACTCTAACTCATTCTAATATTTTGCAGTTCTTTGTGTCTGAACAGAAGACCTACGCACGTGACAATGCAGAGATTTGATTTGATTTCTGTGTCACCTTAACTAACAAGTCAGCGCTGGCATTTTTGGGATTAGTGATACTCTAATTAAGAAGAGTGCACACGGATATCATTTCAATGAATAAGAAGCTGCTGTCCTTATTTCTATACATTGTCTAGTTTCTAAGCTGGGGTTCATCCTCCCTAAATGATTACTTAGTTCTAGTTATCATAGCAAAATGAGAATGTTTCAGATAAGAACTACCCTACATTGCCTTCCTAAATGAAAGGAAAATCTCATCTGTTCTATTTTTTTAGATAGATAAGGGAGAAAACCTGATTGAAATTAAGAACTAGAACTAATGAAACGGAAGTGACCTTATCATCCATTGCTATAGCTAGGGGACCAATTCAACTAGAAATTACTAACTCTTCTTCTTCTTCAGGCTGCCTTAGTCAATCGAAAAGACAGTTAAAATATCATACATTTTGGTTTTATCTGCAAGGAAGTTTTGCAGGTACAGTTCGATAGTTTTACTAACAGGCTAGCTGCTTAACTGAATGACCGAGAAGTAAGAACATCATGACAATAACAACAGGGATTACTCTTCAGAGTACTATCTAGTTCATGGCAAAGAATTGCCACCTAGATAGTGGATGGCAAATTACTCCTAGGAATCTTGCGGAAATTCCATAGGAAGCACTGAAGCAAGCTAATATGGTTCAGGAGTAAAACTGTAAAAGTGCATAATGCAGCATTATCTGACGCTCTCACCATCGCCGGCAGCTCGAGCAGCCGTGGAGACCAGCAACAGCAGCGCGACAACACTCGCGCCATTATAGAACGCCATCTTCGATTCGGCTGCTCTGTCTTCTCCTCGGTCACAGCTAGCTCTGCCGATTAATCTCTGGAGTTTTGGGGTTTTCTTTTTTCTTTTTTTGCGCTCTCTCGAGCTGCTAGCTCTTACCTGGGACGGAGCTTAACCGGGACGGGTGCTGTACTGCTGTTGCCTTGCATTTATAGGTGACGACGCTGTACTGCGTTAGCGAAACCGAAGCCCATGGGCTATCGCCTATCGGGCTATGCATGCATGCCTCGGTCGCCGCGGGCAGATTGGGCGCCGCGCGACGCGCCGGGTCGGCGTGCGGGCACGCTAGCGACTCCCTGTACTGTACTGTCCCTGATTCGATCTGACGATCGTTTGATCGATCGCGTGGACGCGAGTAGCAAACAACCGGGGCAGAACGCAACCGGCTCATGTATGCGATCACGTGCAGCATGCCCCGTATCGCATGGCCGTTGCAACGGAAGGATTCCTCTGTTCGGCCTGTTCCCTCGGCCGGCGTTACGTGGCGGCGCGGGGGGGATTAAGCCCCCGTCGGTGTTTAGTTTTTTCTCGTTTAGAGGAAGACAGGAAGTGGGTGCGTCCTTAATTTGCCGTGTCGGCTCTATGTTGTTTGTGCATGAATGCTTTTTTTTTCCCCTTTTGCGATTATTAAGAGATGGGGTTTTTTATTGTTGATGGGGGGTACTTGATCGATGATCAGGTTAGTGTTCACGTGGATCTGATTTGCTAGAGTGGCAGCATCTACGACTTGTAGTCCGTCAGTTTCGGTTTGCCGGCTGTCAGCTTCTATGCTGCTAGTTAGTGCTTTGTGGAGGAATTAAAAAAGATCAGGCATTCAACGTCTTTTATCGCCCAAAGTGTATCTTCAGTCTGCACATGCCGCTGGTCAAATTTTGGTGCCAAGCTGCCAACTGGAAATGCTGTTTGGCGATCGCTCGCCCTAGGGAGGGGGTAGCAATCATATTCGCTCCCACCTTCCCCTCCCTCCTTCTACCTGTTTCCTTTTTTGGCATCGCATTTGTCGGAGAATGAACTCCTCCACCAGGGAACCATGAGGCCCCCCTTTGAGAGTTCGGCCGGGGGCAGCGGGTGAGATTCGAGGGCTTGGTGAGCAAAGCTGTGTGATCTTGAGGGGGTTCAATCCCCCAAAGACGATGGGACAAAAGGGATTTATACAGGTTCGGAACGCTGAGAAGCGTAATACCCTACTCCTGTGTTTGATTGATTGAGTGGAGAACACAAGTGTTTGGGGTTGCAAGACTCAAGCGCCCGTTCGCTCGGAAGTTCCCCCCTCTTACTAGGCTTGGACCTCCTTTTATATCTCAAGGGGTTACCACATAGGCCCAACACCCTAACTTCGTCGAGAAGTATTACAATATTTGCATTAGATGCATGTCTTGTTCCTTAACTTGGAAGCCGCATACACGTCGCCTCGGTCGTGGGGCCTACCACACCATGCCACCTGACACGGGGGGCGCCCATGTCATTCACCATTTAATGGGTGAAAACTTCTGGGCTCCTATTACACTGGGAAACGGGAGCCTAGCTTTGACCAGAGTGGGAGGACCGACTCCGGCTGGGATAAGAGGATGAGAACCTCTCACCATCATTATTTGATGGGACATGTCAGGCTGCACGCCGCCTGACACACGAGCAGCGCACAGGCGCACTACCCAGTCCCATCGGTCATTCAACCGGTCACAGACCGGTTGAGTACACCGCACGGGCGTGGCGCGACCGCTTGGGTCGCCATAAATGCGGGTAGGTGGGCACCTGTAGGCGGACACTTAACCCACCGTACGTGGTGACCTAGAGAGGGGATCGGGGGAGCCCGACCCCTAGTCACAGGAGGGGGCGGTCGCCGCCTGACTTCGGGCCCGTTCCCCCCTCGGGGGAGGGCCACGTGGCATTGGGGGGCATCCTCCTCCGTCCAATCTCTGGGAGGGAGTGGCCGCCGCCCCACCTCGGGCCCGACCCCCCTCGGGGGAGGGCCACATGGCATTGGGGGGCAGCCTCCTCCGACTAGTCTTTAGGAAGGAGTGGCCGACACCCCACCTCGGGCCTCACTCCCCTCAGGGGAGGGCCACGTGGCATTGGGGGCAGTCTCCTCCGACTAGTCTTTGGGAGGGAGTGGCCGCCGCCCCACCTCGGGCCCGACCCCCCTCCGGGGAGGGCCACGTGGCATTGGGGGCAGCCTCCTCTGTCTAGTCTTTGGGAAAGAGTGGCCCTCACCCCACCTCAGGCCTCACTCCCCTCGGGGGAGGGCCACGTGGCATTGGGGGCAGCCTCCTCCCTCTAAACATGATACCCCCGGGCCCATATCACCGACAACATTACTTTCTTATTTTAGTAAACTAGCACAATGCCCGTGCGTTGCACCGGCTGATGGTGGGGTGACTGAAATTTGGTCTTAATGATTTATCAAAGCATGATCATAAGCATCGGCGATGTGTACGGTGACCAAAAGTCGTGTTATTCTTGACAATTCATTTGCTTTATATTTACGGGGTGTGGATGATGCTTTTGACGTGTGGGCCCGATGGTTGCAGCATAGGATGAACAAATGGTGAAACCACATATAGAATTTTGTTTGACGAATGAAAATATTGATATACTTTTAAGTAGATAAGCCTAACATAATGAGTTAACTATTTTTTAGGACGGAGGGAGTACATGTGTTCTACTATGTATGTATGTGAAAATGCAGTGAAGTTCCGGTTGATTTTGGGGAGTTTTTATTGCTAAAAAAGAGCCTGTGTGTTGCAAAGAAAAAAAAACTAATGTTATGATAATGATTATAGTTATTTTATAAGGTTAGAGATGTGATTGATCCATATATGGTGGAGGTTAGCGATGAAGAAAACCATAACAACAAGAACGGAGCCGACAACAATGTGTTCCCGGTAGAGAAAAAACGACAACGACAAGCTCTGATGGTGAACACGACTGGATGAGTGGGTCAAACATGTTCCCATATAAGAGGATTCCATTTTCCTTGAACGCGTAGGAAGAACGAAAGATGGAGAAAAAACAACTTCCTCTTAGTGGTACAACATAAGTAAAAATCTATTTCTTAATGTCGTAAGACAATATTTTTATTTATGATGTCAAGAATTAAAAAATAATATCACTCGTATGTGCGTGTAAATTAGTTCGGTGGATTAGCACAATGTAAAAAAACTTGACAGCAATTAATAACTGTGTTGTAGTCGTATTTTTTTTAAAAAATAATCCGAATACCTAGATTACCCAGGAGAGAAAATATCGGTTTGCCTGTTCAGAGACCAGCCTTATCTCTCTTTCGTTTTCTCTCCCCTCGTTATCTCCTAGTAGTATCTCCTATGTCTTCCAGGCTCTCTCTCTCGTTTACTCTCCCCCACTCTCTCCTCTCTCCCAGTCTCTCTTTCTCTCTCCCTCCTCAACCGGATGCCGTTCTCTCTCCACCTCTCGTCGTCTCTCTGCCCCTGCTCGCGCGGATCCGCTGCCGGCGATGACGGGATGGGCCGAGCCTTCAAGCCATCGTTTCTGCTCGCGTGATCCGCCGTCGACGGCAACGGGAGGGGCGGATCCGGCGACTCTTCCCCTCCCGCACGGATACCGTCCACTCTTCGGCCCCCTCTCACGTGGATCCACCGTCGGCGGCGACGGTAGGGGCAGATCCGGCGACCTCTTCCCCTCCCGCACGTGTCCCGTCTTCTCTCCGCCCGCCTCTCGCGCGGATCCGTCGCCAGCGACGACGAGAGGGTTAGATCCGGCGACCTCTTCCCCTCCCGCAACTGCTGGTACACAATATGCTTGATTACTGCTTTAGCTAGTAGTATGTGTGTATGTATAGTTTCAATTATTAAACATGTCCGGAAGTTGATATACGCTTACTGGAGTACGCTATATTATTCACAGGAGTTATTTTTTTTCTTCCTCATTTTCTTGGAAGAATATGGATGCATGTCAGTATGAGAACTGTCAATTGTTCTCTGTGTGATATTGTTGGCCAGACTGGGCTATATATGTACTTTTAGTAACTTTTTGGCTTTTAGAGCTTTGTGGCAAGTAGTACTAATTACATATTGTGATGGTATGTAGATCATGATGATGCTAATTGTGCATAAGCTTCATCTACGCACCTATAAATGACAAAATCTAAGCCAAATATATAGCATGCTTCACCAGTAGTCATCATGGAGAACCATATGTGCTTTTGGATTTTCTTTTAAATCGACGTGATCGTCATCAATCGACCTGTAAAAGTAAAAATGAACTGTAGTCTCTTGTTGGGAGCTGTTGGACATGCATAGACATAGTGATCAGCATATATAAATATCCTATTTATAGGATTATATGCTATGCTTAAGAGGGTTCTCTAATGGTTGGTCAGATTTAATTGTAAAGCTAGAGTACAACCATTCAAATGGATCATATCCGATCAAGGTGTTTAAAAGTGTGCACACAAATTATGTCGGCCTAGGAAAAACAGGGCCAGGTCCCTAGCTATATTATTTAACATTTCCTATCATTAATCAGACCATCAACCCACTTGTTTGGTGAAAAGTTTGATGACTAAATTCAGTACATGCTTTTAAATCATTAGGTGTAGTAACCTAGTACTTAAGTCTAGTTTAAGGTAGTATTAGGTGTATTATTGCTGAATTCTCACTGTAAACACCAATTCATCTAATCACTCCTAATGCATTACAGTGATCTTTTAGGCATTTGCTCACCTTTTGCATTCCATGTGACAGTGCAAATATGTAGACCATTCTGTACTTTTCAGCACCAAATTGTGCTTGTTGTGAACCTTTGTTGCTCTTGCATGTTTTGATTCTGGGAGCAAGGCCTTGGAGCTGCATGGATCGAGGGATGAGAGCAACGTCTCCTCTTCTTCCCCTTCTTCCTCCTCACCTGACCATCAGGTCAGTGAATGAAATCTTGTTCTTTATTTGTTTCGTGTTCCTTTAGAATTCTCTTATGCTGTGCTTGCTATCCAGGAAATCAATCCTGTGGTTTTTTGAACTGTTGTACTGGAGATTGATGTCAACGTGATAATCACTGACTACTACATGCCTGGCATGACAGTATGATCTACTGAAGAGGGTGAAGGTAAGTTTTGTTTGCATTGAATTTATTCTTATCCTGTGAGCATTCATAAATCTTGGGTCCTTTGTTGCTGTAAGTGGAGTAAAATTTGCTCCTTTTGCTCCTCATTTTGGGGGTACAAGTGTCATCTTCATTGAAGGACATACCAGTTGTGATCATTTCTTCTGAGAATGTGCCTGCAATGATCAACAGGTGAGCTGAAAGTTCCATCTGAGTTGTCTCCTTGTTTTATCTTATCTTGGAAATTATTGTTGTTGGTCCATGAGGCGTGCTCTTACAAATCTACCAAGGCCCCTGCTTTTATGATGATTGGTTTTATTTTAAGTTCATGCGATTGGTATGCATTGCTGAGGAAGAAAACGAAAAATATGTTTTTCCTACCGTTTTTGGTGCCTTCATGGATCTGATTTTAACAGCAATTAACATGGTACATACTCCATATGTGAGACATAGGGTTGGGGAACAGAAGGATTGCAGATCTGATTTCATCTTTGATTTGTAGTACTGAATATTTTCTGAAACTCTGTGGTCACATATGAATGCAACAGAAATTGATCTTGATTAAGTAGTAGTTCATGTTATATATACTGATTCAATGAGTATGGCATAACATATTTGAATCTCATAAATCTAATGAAATTGAAACTGCATTTAGGGTTGAGTTCAATGATAACCTGGGGTTGGGGAACATAAGGATTGCAGATCTGATTTCATCTTTGATTTGTAGTATTGAATATTTTCTGAAACTCTGTGGTCACATATGATGATATGAATGCAACAGAAACTGATCTTGATTAAGTAGTATTTCTTGTTATACTGTTTGGAAGAGTATCACATTAACATATTTGAATCTCATAAATCTAATGAAATTGAAACTGCATTTAGGGTTGACTTCAATGATAACCTGGAGATAATGATTGGAGGTGATTTGATGCCCTACAGGAAGAGACTTGCGATCTGTATTTTCTTGTGTGCTTCTATTATTTCTATCCCTTCTAATAATAATATTGTATGTCTTGCTGGCTTGCGAGAGAAATATGTAAAATCATGTTAGTGGGAGTGCTAAAAATAGTGGAAAAAAAGGCGGGACAATCAGACTGCTGGACGGATAGAAAAGGAAAAGAAAAGCGACCGAACTCCTGAACGGAAAGAAAAGGGAAAGAAAAGCTCCTACCGGACTAATGGACTGCGATCTTTTTATTGCCTGATAGAAAGGTGGCTTGATGTCTTAGAGGAAGAGCCTTGTCTGCTTCTATCATTTATATTGCTTGTAATGTAATGTCATGTAATATTAATAGCATGACTCAACATAAAATCGGGATAAAATTGGAGTAGGAATCGGTGCAGGGGCTCTTTTTAGTAGATGCGTTCTTTTTTAATTTGGGCTTGTGGGCTTAATCTGGTAAATTTGAGTAGGAATCGGTATGGGATTTTTTTTTCGTGTGTAATACGCGCAAACTGGAGCGGTGGGAAAACGGAAAACACGGTGTGAAAAGGGTTACGGATGGAAAAAAGGGGTTACGGACGAAAAAAAAAGGTGCGGGGTGAAAGATGTGACGACTGGAAAAATACAAATATTTATATTAGTTATAGATTTATGCACCTAAAGTTTATATACCTCAAGTTTACACATCAAAAGTTTAGAGACCAAAAGTTTATATATCTGATTTAAATTTAAATTTGATTTCAAATATTTTTTATATATAATATTTCTATACATCTAAATTTTATACATCTAAATTTTATACACCTAAAGTTTATAGAACTAAAGTTTGTAAGTCAAAAGTTTATATACCCGATTTAGATTTGAATTTGAATTATATCTGATTTAAATTTGAATTTAAATTATATCCGATTCAAATTTGAATTTAAATTATATCCGATTCAAATTTGAATTTGAATTATATTTTCTATATACATCTAAAGTTTATAGATCCAAAGTTTATAGAACTAAAGTTTATATACCCGATTCAAATTTGAATTTGAATTCAAATATTTTATAGATCCAAAGTTTATAAGTTAAAAGTTTACATACCCGATTCAAATTTGAATTTGAATTCAAATTTAAATTTGAATTTGAAAATTCAAATTGAATTCAAATTCAAATTTGAATTCAAATTTTTTATATATAGTGTTTCTATACATAAATTTTTCTAACTATTTGTTTTTTTTAAAAATTTTTTTGGTTTACTGCACTAGGAAGAGAAGAAGGAGAGGAGGAAGGGAAGAAGTGGGAGGACTGGGGTCGCGTATTGGGGAGGCGGGGGGATGCGATCGCTGGGCGATGGATCGCCCATTAGCCGCCACTCAAACAGTGAGGTATGTAAGAACTAAGATCGGCTTTGATGCCACATGCTCATATCTAACCAGAAGCATAAATGTGGGCTTGATGCAATCGTTGTTTTGGACATTGGGCCGTTTGGGGTGTCACACTTTTAAGGGCATCCCTGCCAAGTTCATCCAAGGATACTAGGCTTCTCAATATGGGCCTTCGCCTTGGGCCCAAGACCCATATCGTGGACGTAATCCTAGTATGGACTTGAGAGTTCAGCTTCCAGTTTCAGAGGTAGCCCGAGTGCCCGACAGTCTTCAGAGTTCAGACTTCAATCCATGGCCGTTCATGAGTTCTTCCAACTCGGTGCGTGGTTCACGGCCAACTCTCAACACTGGGTCGAGTGTTGAATGTCGCAACCTAATCCACATGCACGTAGTCACGTACGTCTTCTCTCCGTCTTTCTTGTCAATTGGACGTGGAAGTCATTGTTTCTGACCGAACAATCTTTTTTATTGTTGAATAGTAATACAATAAGAAGGGCCAACATAAATCCTCACATGCCATGCCAGCTAGCTGACACAAGAGTCATTCGTATATGGAACTATGGCATACTATTCAATACTCCCTCTGTCCCAAAAAAAAAGACAAACCGCAGATTTCCGTGCCAACGTTTGACTGTCCGTCTTATTTAAAAAAAATTATGAAAAAATTAAAAAGATAAGTCATGCATAAAGTATCCGACACGGTCAAACGTTGGACATGGTCAAACGTCAAACTTTTATATTTGTGGAGTAATATATCGCATGAATTAAAATCACAGAGATAAAATAATTCTAGAGATAAATCTATTTTTACTTATTATGTACTACAAATCTTTCTCTGAGACGATCAATCTTTATCTTTATCTTTACCTATAATAAAAGTTTAAGATGTTTTTGTCACAAATTTCCGTACGTCATCCCTGGTTGTATTCGTATCCGTATTAGTTCATCGCATACGCTGGCCAATGCACAGAAGAATCAGAGATCGATTCAAAATCCTAATCGCGTACGGCGGGCAAATCACAAAATCAAAGATAGATTAAAAGCCCAATCAAGCAATCATCACTTTCAAATATAAGAACTACACCAACCGATAATCCCAGAAAAAGAAAAGGAATAAAATTCGCACAAATCCATTACGCATCGAGCCGATGCATCGAGCAATTTTACTTTCACTTCAAGAACACAACATGAACACAAAAGATGAACACAGGAACACACATGAACACAAGATTTTTGCTTCCGCTCCCGTTCGCCGCCGCCGGGCCGTCGCCTTCCCTCCGCCACCGCCCGCCTCCCCTCCTGCCGGGTCGCCGCTCCCGGCTAGATCTGGCGGAGGGGAGGCGCCGCCGCCGCCCCCGCCTCCCCTTCTGCGGAGGGCGCCACCGCTGGGACGTCGCCTTTCCTCCCGCCGCCGCCACCGCCTCCACCGCTGGGCCGCCACTGACGCGCGAGAAAGGCGAGGGGAGGGTGAGAGAGAGCCGAGGGGAGAAGAAGAGAAGAAAGAGAGGAGACGACGAGCCCCTACCTGCGCTACCGCTAGGTTGCGCTCGTCTGCGCGGTGGAGATGGAGAGAGAGCCGAGGAGAGAAGGGGAGGGGAGGAGCAGTGGAGCTGAAATTTTTACATTTTGGTCCTTTTAAAAAACTTATTTTATAAATAGACCCCTGAGAAAACTTAAACCGGAAATGGTCCTTTTTGGGACGCCAAAGTGGCTGGCGCCGTACCCCAACATGGCGGCGCCAGCCACACTGGCGCCGTGCCCGTGCCACCGTGGCAATAGGGCTGTCGTGGAGGTGCTGGCTAGGCCGAAGGGGGTGCCAGCCAAAGTGGCGCCGCCCCTCATACCACGGCGCCAGCATGGCTGGCGCGCCCCTCCTCTGCGGGCCCCACCAACTTTCTCCCCTTCCCCCAAAATTTTCGCCAAGTCTGTTCTGCCTCCAGGCAACGGCTGGCGCCCCCCCGACCGCGGCGCCAGGGTGCTGGCGCCCCCCTCCTCCCCCCATCGAAGCCCTTCTGCCTCCGGGCCTCGGCTGGCGCCGCCCTCATGGACCACGGCGCCAGGGTAGCTAGCGCCCCCCAGCCCGAAACCCTTCTGCCTCGCGGCACTGGCTGGCGCCGCCCTTCCCAACCGCGGTGCCAGGTGGTTGGCGCCGCCCTCTGCCTCCCTGCAAATTGAAGATCCATATTGCACAAATGTACCAATTCACAGTTCGCAATTCAAATCACAATTCACAGATTCGTACAGACTAAAACAGGTTCCAATTGCACAAATCACAATGCCAAAAGTCCATCACATAGTCCTCACATAGTCCATCACATATTACACACATCAAACAATGCCAAAAGTCCATCACATATCCCACACATCAAACAATGCAAAAAGTCCATCCTATATTCCACACATGAAACAATGTCAAAAGTCCATCACATGGTCCTCACATAGTCCATCACATTTTATATCACATAGTGCACCACATATGTCATACTACCAACCAATAGATTAACTTCATACAAATTACTTCTTCCGTTGGCGCCGAATTGCTTGCGAGCCCGGAGTGTACCTACATTTGAAAATCCAATGTTTTAAACATTTTAAAAACAAAATAAGGGAAATCAAATAACATTTGAGAATTTGGGTCTCCTCTTCGTTCTTGAATCGTTTTGATCTCCTCTTCCCTCTTGTTTTAATCTTCAAATTTGGGTCAGCAACAAATTCTTCACCATCGTACGATGGCCACTGTGTGGGGTCGAGGTATGGCTCAAAGCGACTTGCCCATGTGTTCACAACGGCTCTTGAAGAGAACTGATACGGCATTCGGTTGGGAGATTCCTCATCAATTGCATGAATCAGATAAACGTGTATAAGATGTGAGCAAGGCATATGGTAGAGCAATGGCCTTTGGCAAGAACATGAGTTCCCCTCACCTTCAACTTTGAAGGCTCTTGCGCCGAATCTAACACCACCATGCGTTATACCACCCCTCTCTGTGACCTCGTATGTCTTTTTCTGCTTATCGAAACACCTTGCAGTGTGTTTGTTCGCCTTACTTTTTTGCACCTTCATCTTACTGTCAACCTTGGTGGACCAACGCTGCCCTAACTGGACTCGCTTCAAAGCTTCATCATGTCTGTTCACAAAGTAGTCATTGCACTTCATGAACGTAAATGATACGATGGCCGTCACTGGAAGCTTACGAACACCAACTAGCACGCTATTGAACTGTTCGGCCATGTTGGTTGTCATGTAACCCCACCGGCGGCCATTTCTATCGTATGCACGAGACCACTTATCTTTATCCAACAACTCATCTTCAAGCCATTTACGAGAACCTTCGGGAATATGCTGCCTTAGTGCCTCAACATCCCTCTCAAATATCCACTTCTCGTCAATCTGACATATCCTTAGGAGCTCTTTTGTCTGATGCTTGTCCGCACCGGCCTTGTGGAAATTAGCACTGAAGTGCCTCATGCACCACCGGTGGTGAACCGATGGCAATCCTGGAACAGGAGTCATCATGGCATTCATTATACCAGCATGTCGATCTGAGATAATACAAACCTCCCTATGCGGCCCAACCACAACCCGTCGGACAAGATCGATAAACCAGCACCAGTCTCGTGAATTCTCTTTCTCCACCAAGGCAAAAGCTAAAGGTACAAGTTGGTCCTCCGCATCAGCTGATAATGCAGTCATCAAGGCACCACCGTATTTCCCAGTTAGGAAAGTTGCATCTATAGCTAGTACTGGCCTACAATGCTTAAAAGCCTCAATGGAAGGACCAAAGCACCAGAATGCACGCATAAAAATTTTCTTGGTCACTCCATCAACGTTGACAACCCTATCAGGATGAGTATCGATGTGGTAGACCATACTGGGATTCCTCTGCTTAATGGCTTGCAGCAAAGTGGGCAAACGGACATACGCTTCACCCCATTCACCGTAAATGAGCTTCATAGCCTCCTCTCGTGCCCTCCAAGCCTTGCCATACTTCACCCTATACTGGAAAACCTCAAATATATACAAAGCTAACGCAGAAGCAGAGAGTGTAGGTTGCAGTTTTATGGCATTGCATAACCTATTTGCTATGAACTTTGATGTCAGTTGCCGGTGGCTCCCTGAACCTTCGGCAGTAGCACAACTATGTTCCTTACCTACCCGTGATATCCTCCACGTGCCACTAGACCTCTTAGTTGCATGGACCTTCCATTTGCACCGTGGGTTTTCACATTTAACAGTGTACCTCCTATTTGCGGCAGAATTGACAACACGGTATGGACGATGGTGCACGATGGCGTACTCCTGGAGCCATAGCTTCAATGCGACCATGGATGGGAACTCTAAACCCTTTCTGAGACCATCCACCTGGAATGGTTCTGGCAACTGATCTAGGTTGATGCCGCCATCTAGTAGTGCACCATGGGCATGTGTTAGGTCCCTAAACTCAGGAATGTCCGGCTTCCTCCCAAACACCTTCTCAAATGCACGACATTCCTCTAATGCTAACTTGTCATTATTAGTAAGTGGAGGGAATGGACGGTCATCATCAGAGTCTTCAGCAAATTCAACATCATATTGCTCAACACTTGCCTCCTCGTCAACATCATCTCTATTGACTTCTACTGAGACAGAATCGTGACCACCACTCAATTCGACATCAAAGTAATCATCTGGATTCAGATATTGGCCTGCTACTTCTGTCGGGTATTTAGGGTTGACTCCGTACGACGACCAATGAACACTCGCCGACAAATGTTCACTTAGATCAAGCCCCTCTTGTACTAACTCCCTTTTCATCACCCTCGCTGCATCCACATCATCAGTACCGCAATGTCTCTTTGATGGTCCTGCCTCCCATAAATCATTTCCAAGCAAAGGTCTCTTCTTCTCTCTTTCCCCCTCCAAGTCTTCTCGTACCAACTCACTCTTACTTGCACCCCCTCCACGACGAGAATAATATGTCACAAAATTCTTCTCAACGTAATGATAAGAAGGAGATTTGTTTAGATCCAAATTTTCTACGGTACGAACTAACTTTGATGCAAACACCTCTAGAGATCTAAACTGAGACTCTTTTACCAAATCAAAGTAAACTTCCCATTCCAACTGACCTATCACATTTAATATATACTTATGCCCTTGACCAACATCGTATCTCCCATAAAAACGAATCTCCACATTATCCTCGGTCCATCCAAGAACTTCTTTCACTCGTGACCTTAGTTCATCTAGAGTTGGGTGGGTGGGAAACAAAATGGTCTTCAATGACATATCCTCAAACTCAACATGTCCACCAACATAAGGTTCCACCACTCTACCACCGTAGTAAACACGAACAAGTCTATCCATCTACACCAAAAAATCAAATGTAACTTTGCAACAAAAATTAAATCTTCATTCCTAAACGTAGTCCAAACCGACATATTATAACCAATGCATAACTTAAATTGTCCCAAAGCTACTACTCCAAAAAAATATTTAATCCACCTACAACTATCAACAAGTTTACTACTGCATTACACATCGAAATATTACAAATACTCTATCATACAACCCAAACCTCCGTCATGCCTCAACCATAATTTTTCATCCATCCATCCAACCAAACCATCCAAAAATTAACATTACCACATATATGGTTAAAAAAATCATGACACCAATGAGTACATTGCAAACATGTAGCACTACAACAAGCCAATCCTAAGAACAAATGCTAAAAATTACAAATTTGGGTAAAAAGTGGGTTCTAGGGTTACCCACCGATCTACAAATTCAACCAATAAAAACGAAAAAAAAGAGGGGGGAATGAAAGAGTCTACCTTTCTCTTCGATTTCCACAAAAAATCCCGCGAAAAACGGCTTCAAATTGAGTGGATTTGAGGTGGAGAGGTGAGGGGGAGAGAGAGGGAGAAGAACAGCAGCTCGCTGCTCGGGCTGGGAATGGCGAAAATGGGAGTGGGGAGGAGAAAGGTGGTGGGGCCCACGGGGTTTAAGGGTCGGCCCACAGAGGAGGGGCGCGCCAGCTATGCTGGCGCTGTGGTATGAGGGGCGGCGCCAGTGTGGCTGGCGCCCCCTTTCTGCCCAGTCAGCACCTCCACGACAGCCCTAGTGCCACGGTGGCACAGGCACGGCGCCAGTGTGGCTGGCGTCGCCATGTTGGGGTACGGCGCCAGACACTCTGGCGCCCCAAAAAAGACCATTTCCGGTTTAAGTTTTTCCAGGGGTCTATTTGTAAAATAAGTTTTCAAAAAGGACCAAATTGTAAAAATTTCAGAGCAGTGGAGATGGAGAGGGAGAGAAGAGAAGGAAGCGATAAGAAGAGAGAGAGACCGGACGCGTGTGGCTCATCCATCCACGAGACGCCATCACGGTTGGGAAAAAAACTCGGTATGTTCTGGTTCCACCAAAATAAACTGGCCCCACCACTTCTTTGTAAATTGCTAAAATGACACTTTTTTTTACAGTGCTGGGGCGGTGAAACGTCCAGTTTTTTGTTGGACGGGTGCGTTCGATCTACACAATTGAGGGAGAAAACACCTCGTTTTTCGCACGCACGCTTCCCAAACTATTAAACGGTGTGTTGTTTGCAAAATTTTTCTATAGAAAAGTTACTTTAAAAAATTATATTAATCCATTTTTAACTTTAAAATAGTTAATACTCAACTAATCATGTGCTAATGACTCACATCATTTTACGTATCTTGTCAATCTTCTCTTTTCCTCCCCTCTCAAACACTCTCCCCTCTCAAACACTCCTGGCCTCCGTAGCCTGCGTTCAACACTCTCCTTTCTCAAAACTTATGTTGTTCAGTTTTTCCGCGCACGTTCCCCGATCAATTAAACACTGTATTTTTTTAGAAAGTCTATAGAATTTTTTAAGAAAAAAATCGTAATAATGCATTTTATTAAATGATGCTTTTTAAAAAGAATCTATATATTTTTTAAAAAAATCGAAATAATACATTTTTTCAGGTTTTTAGGATAATACTTAATTACTCATGCGCTAATGAGCCACATTGTTTTTCGTGCGGGAGGAATTAGTTACGAACCCAAGGTTCGATGTTCGGGATTCATTGTTCATAACTTTATCTCTCTTATTTTTCGGGCGCACGCTCAAACAGCTAAACGGTATTTTTTTAAAAAAAATATGAAGGGAAATTGTTTTAACAAAATAATATTAATTTATGTTAAAAGTTTTTTAACTAATACTTAATTAATCATGCGCTAATGTATGCTTCGTTTTGTGTACTGGATAGGAGGGCCCCTCCTCCCGAACATAACCTTAGTTGCTTTGCATTCACGCTGCCGCTCGCCGCCGTACAACTCCGTGTGTAGATCTGTAGAGAGGACTAAAGATAGATGAGGTAAAAAGGTTGACCGTGTGGAGAGGATAGGAATAAGGCTCATAACCAATACGTATACATTTTAGAGTGGATAAAGAAAAACAGAAACAAATGCCATATTCAACTATTTATCCACCACAGTCTATATATAATTGAAATTGTTTTTAATCCGTTGCAACGCACGAATATTTTTTCTAGTATAATACAATGGAATAGAGCATATTATTACGGTTGCTCCTATATTCAATATTTTCCACACTCCTCTGGAACTACAGAGCTCGGACGACGGGCATGAGTTTGGACAGATTTGGCTGATAAACACGAACACTTCGGCGGCAGAGGGATGGGCAGCAACTATCTGGCGTGGTGGCCTCCCATTGCGACCACTTTCTCTTATCTTCGGACGATAGCAAGTTTCAGCCCTCTCGATCTCGAGCTCACCGACCCCTACTCTCTGACATGTGGGCTACCGTCATCTCCTTTTTTTTCCATGTTACTAGCATATGGGCCCCCACAAACTTCTCTTAATTCTTTTTAGCACTACGTCAATACAGGTTAACCAAGTTAACATGCCACGTCAGAAAAAAAAAACGTTGACTATAATATCATGTAAGGACCATATAGGACAAAACCTATTCAAACCATCCCGCGGAGAGCAAAAATAAGCCAGTTTTAATAGTTTAGGGAGCTTCTATATCTAGTTTTGTGATTCAGGGGTGTGAATCAGACTCGGGTAAGAGAGGCGATATGCCCTATCATGCCGTGACAGCTCAAGGCCCAAATTCACGGAGCTGATCCATAATGAACTTCAGAGTTCAAACTTTTCAGAGATCCCCAGACATTCCTCTGGTTTTCCGACGTTCATGAGTTCGTCCAAGTTTGGAACGTTGTATGCCGCAAACCAACCTCTCAACGATCACGTACGTAGTACGTCTTCTTGTGGTTTTTTTTTGTCAATTGAACGTGGAAGTCTTGTTTCTGGACTGATCGTTCTAGTCGATTGTTGAATACGAAGGCCACCATAAATCTTCACATGCTAGCTTGCTGACACACTGTGATTCATATGGCCAATATACAGCGAGCGGATAGTGGCATTAAACCGCGGCTTCGCGTGGAATTCCACCGGATAGGAAGGTACCGGGTCGCAGACTTTCAACCTCTCTCCATTATGGCGGCGCACGCGCGGTTCCCTTCTGCCGCAGCAACCGCAGCGCGCACGCTAGTGTCCTAGGACTCCACAAGTATTGGGATATGCTAAAATTCTCGATTAGTTTGGCAAGTCGCACAAGTACACCACAAGTACACGACGGATGTCTCGTATGTAGAGAAGACGCTGGCGCTCGTTTTATAAAAGCCGGGCTGGTGATCATGATATCTAATCAACCATCACCTCTTTCACACCATATCCTATAATGGCGAACTCACCGACGCCGACAATGCTGGCGTTCCTGGCTCTTGGGCTAGCGCTCCTCCTCTCCGCCACCGGCCAGGCGAGCGCGCAGAACTGCGGCTGCCAGTCGAACATGTGCTGCAGCAAATGGGGGTACTGCGGCACGGGCAAGGACTACTGCGGAGATGGGTGCCGCTCTGGCCCGTGCTACGGCGGCGGCGGCGGTGGAGGAGGAGGAGGCGGAGGTGGTGGAGGCGGAGGCGGAGGCAGCGGCGTGTCTGTAGAGAGCGTGGTCACCGAGGCGTTCTTCAATGGGATCAAGAACCAGGCCCCGAACGGTTGCGCCGGCAAGAACTTTTACACACGACAGTCGTTTCTTAACGCTGCCCACTCCTACTCGGGCTTCGCCAGGGACCGCACCAACGATGACTCCAAGCGTGAGATCGCTGCCTTCTTTGCCCACGTCACTCATGAGACCGGACGTAAGGAAAATATTTAATTACATACTCCTGGTATTTGTACATATATGCATGTAACTAATGAGGATGATAAATGATAATGCACTCGCAGATATGTGCTACATCAACGAGATAAACGGGGCGAGCATGGACTACTGCGACAAGAACAACAAGCAGTGGCCGTGCCAGCCGGGGAAGAAGTACTACGGGCGCGGGCCGCTGCAGATCTCGTGGAACTACAACTACGGGCCTGCGGGGCAGAACATCGGGTTCGACGGGCTGAGGGACCCGGACAGGGTGGCGCAGGACCCGACGATCTCCTTCAAGACGGCGCTCTGGTTCTGGATGAACAACGTGCACCAGGTGATGTTGCAGGGGTTCGGCGCCACCATCCGGGCCATCAACGGTGCGCTCGAGTGCAACGGCAAGAACCCCGGCGCCGTCAACGCAAGGGTAAACTACTACAAAGACTACTGCCGCCAATTCGGCGTTGACCCGGGTGGCAACCTTTACTGTTGAGTTACATGCACACATGCTGCGCGGCTCATCGATCAGGACTGAATAATAAACAAAGTAATAACGAATAAAACGTTTGGTGTGTACGTACATTGCATGCACGTACGGTACATGTTGCAAGTGACGTCAAGAGTTTGGTACGGATAAATATGAAAAATAAAATGTTGGGATCAGGATTAAATGATGAGCATAGAGTACACTACTAGGAAAAGCATTATCGCAAGCGGTCGAAAAGGGTCTTCGCAGGCGGGGCGACCGTCTGCCTGTAAGCCAACGACTGTGAAGATCGCTGGGCGGCCGTCCGCCTGTGAAGATAATTTTCACAGGCGGACATTGGCTAGTCCGGTCCGCCTACGAAAATAGGAATCGGCCGCCTGAAAAAAAAACTTCCGCCTGCAAAGATAGGTAGAAAATATTGAAATTTAATAATAATTTGCCCGTAAATTACTTTTAAATTATTTAATAGAAATTTTTGCAGGTAGATTATTATGTACATATATTGGAAGATTATCAAGCATTTGGTACTGAGAAATATATATATATATTGCATAAATCAAAAGTATTGCCAAAATATATATATTACAATATTTTTTTACATTGTCACTTCAAATAACGTTATCTAGTTACATTATGGCATAGCAGTGTTCCACTCCCGAAGATCCTTGAATTCGTCACTTGTCGCTGGGACACCCTCTGGGTCGAAGAAATCTTCTTTCACATGACAGCACTCATGGTGGATGAAGTGACACAGATCACGCTGGACATTTGGGATACCTGTATCGTCAAAGCTTGTTCGACATTCTAATCTTGGCAACTGCATGCATTGAAGTTAATCAATATATTAGTATCATAAATATGTGAAGCTGTCTAGTACATAGTATAGAGACTTACATCCTCCGCGTTAGTCCTGTACCGTCCATTAACCCTAAGGAATTCACACGCATAATATCCGCAAAGGACCGTTCCTCGCGGTTGCTTGTGACACTTCAGGACATATCATAGAAAAAAGTAGTTAAAATTTGCAATTAGTGAATCAATTGGAATACATTAAGTGAGTGGAGTATTACCGGCCAATAGGTACGTACTAGCAGCTTCTCCCTTATTCGGGTCTGTTCTCCACCCTTGAACTTATAGTATTGGTATGCACTGTATGGATGTCGTACCGTTTCACAGTAAGGAGGATATTTATTTATAATACATTCATATACAAATGCAAAAGTCATAATCACTTACTACTGTAAAATTATTAGAAATTCTTTATATTGCTTGTGACTGTAATCGAGAGGGTCCAAGACTACCACGGTTCCGTCTTTAGGGTGGATGAGTAAACAGATATAATGATCGCTACATATTAACAACAGTATAGTTAGTTAGTACCAGCTAAAATAAGACATATGTATACAAGATAAATGTACTAGACTTACTTAAAATTATAAGCGGCCATGACGACTCTCTTATTTTGAAAGTGCAAGAAGGCTCGTCCAATGTACTGTGCGACAGTAATCAATTTCTCCTTGTGCAAGCCCTTCTTGTATTCTGCTATCTCTTTTGGATTCTTGCTCTTCAGCTGGTCAGACCCTGGTGCTAGCCTCATCGTATGCTGTGTTTGGCAGATCCGAGTTGGATCCAAGAAGCCGATGTGTTCTTTTTTCTTCTTAGCATCCATGTATTGCATTCTACAGAAGAAGTTTGTTAGTAACAATCACATGGATTTGTATTATACATATTTTTCATCTAATTAATTAAAACTCATACTCACATGCACCAAACACCGACGTAGTTGACGTCCATCTTATCCCGACGATATATGGCGTGGAGATCTGAGAAATCTAGCCATACGTAACCTTCTTCGTCGAAACAATCTGCCGGTGATCGAGCTGTTATATTGCCCAAGCCTTTCTTGCTGGCCTCCATGTAGAAGGTATGTAACCTTGTCATCTCCCATGGTCCTTCTTTCAGTGCCCATTCCGGCAAGAATGCTTTCCCATGTTCGTACTTTTCCGGGCAATCATCGATTGCGAAGTATGTTGGCCCGGCTAGTTCAGCAGCCTTCTGGGGGTCGTCATCTCTAAGCTTGGCATGTTCCTTACCCCCTCTGAAGACGGTTACCATGAACTTCTCCCTGTTCTCATCTTTGGACTTGGAGTCGTGGCTCCTAAGCACTCGTGGCACCTCAGAACTGGTAGTGGCCTTCTCAGGGACCGTGGTCTCTTGCACCTCGGGGTCTTTCGCAGGAGAAGGGTCTTCAAATATTTCTGGCTCTGTACCGTCCCATTCTAATCCTGATACTTCTTCTATTTCTGACCCGACTGATGCCACAAATTGCACCTCTGGTTCTGCCACTGTAATCTCCATGGGCACATCCGGCACTGGAATCTCCATGGCTGCCTCCGGCGGTGCAATCTCCTTGGCTTTCTCCGGCAATGCAATCTCCGGTAGCACTTCCGGCACTGGATTTTCCTTTTGCATCTCGGGTTCCTCCGCCTTATCAGTCACCTTCCTCTTAGGAGGTCCCGGAGGTTTTCCCAACCCCGGTTTAGGCACCACAGGTTTTTGTGTGGCGTCGGTACCCAATCCAAAGGATATGTCATTCTTGTGCCAGAGAATTACAAGATCGACCGCATCCCCAAGTACGGATACACCATCTGTAGTCGGGAAGTCAATGTCGTAGGACTCAAACCCTTCGTGGACCACTTGCGGCTGCACCTTGACATACGCATCGGGTATGAACTCTTCATTGTATGTTCTCCCAGGGATAACAATGGTTGTAGCGGCCTCAAGAGTTTTCCCGGAGCGTCCAATAGGAACGTGCAATCTGCAGGGTGTATTCTCCTTGAGGTCATCGAAGGGGTAATCTGGCTCAGGTTCTTTGGTTTCGGGGCGAGGCAAAAGCATGTGCTTGACGCAGAAATCCATCATTTGCCATTCAAACTCCGCAGCCCCTTCGTCTCTAAGTTTATCCTTGTACGCTTCACGCTTCTTGTGGGGGTCATTTTTGAACCCTTCCTTCCAACTCATCTTGCTCGACACACCTCGAACCCTTCCCCCATGCTCAGGAGTACCCAGCGCCGTACTTAGCACATCTTTCTCCCTTTAAGGCTTGAAAGATCCTTTCTTTTGTGAACTGGATAAATTTTCTATTTTATCGGCAACGCTCTGCAGCTCCGGATTTTCAAACGATACTTTTCCTTCATCCGTGATCTTCGGAGTTCTAGCTCTTACCCAGTTCCTTGATCTCTGTGTCCACTCCTCCATTGGTACCAGTTGCCTCTTCTTCCTCATTTCCTCCTCCTCTTTTGTCCACTGCTCCACCTTTGGTGCGTATCCTGCGGAGCCTAAGCGATGAGGAAATTTGTTCTTCTTGGCCAACTCTGCATACTTTTGGCTCCTTTGAATTTCTTCCGGGGAGTTCTTCGACGTCAGAAAGTCGTCCCACTGGTTCGGGGTTATGTTGGCATACGTCGAAAATGGTGTGCGTCCCGTCTTCACAAATTTCTTGTTCAAGGTGGTTTTCCAACCACGCCAAGACTTGGCCATTGTTTGCAGTGCACAATTCCTCACTGCTGCCTCTGATCCATCCGGGAACTGGAAGATTTTCTTCAACTCTTTCCATATGACTTCCTTATCCCCATTCGATACATGATCCCAGTCCTTAACCGTGATGGGGATCTTTTCCCTTACTATTTATGCCACACTGTGAACTGAATTTCGCACGTGTCGTCTTAGGGTCGAGCGGCTCTCCTTTAGGCGAAACATGTGTAACAACATGGAACCATTCATCCTTTCTATTCACGCTTCTCTCGCCCTTCCTTTTCTTCGCTTTTGCTGACCGTTCGCTTTCTTTGTGCCGGTTGTGTTAGCTAGTACGTCGTCGTCTTTCGACGGAACTTTTTTCTTCGGCTGCCGTTTTGATCGCCGTGGCGCTGTTTCCTACGAGAAGGTATACATGGAAGTTTCGAATTAGCTCGGGCTAATAGTTATCACGGTGAACATTTTACATATTAAGTTTACTTACCCCTTCTTTAGGGGGAATGTAGTCCTTGTCGCCTTCTTCACCGTCGTCCTTTTTCCTTCTCTTCGGGCTTGGGCTTGAACAAGGATCGCTTGGCGATGAGTACTCCTCGTCTTCGTCAGCTACGTCGCTGTCGGAACTACCTTCCGGTGGGACCGTTGGTTCCGGAGCAACCACAACAGCAAGGGATTGCTCTTGCTCCCCTAAACCCTTCTCTTCAGTCCCTTTAGTACTATCGGCCATCGTTTCAAACCTCTAATATAAAAAAAAGAGTTATCGTCCACATTTTAAATTACTCAAATTAGTACAAACAACTTTATACAAAAATAAACTGTATATTAACAATATGTCGTATGAACAAATTTAAATTCTCTGAGATTCCCAAATTTAACTATTATACTAAATTAATTAGTACAAACAAATTTAAATTGCGAAATATTATTAATTAGTACTTACTATTATGCTAAATTAATTAATACAAACAAATTTAAATTGCGAAACTAATTACTACTTACTATTATGCTAAATTAATTAGTACATACAAATTTGTACAAAATTTGATATGTTATTATCAAGTAGTGCACTAATTGACAGTTACATTTCATCGACATGTTAATTAAAAAAAATTGAAAAGGCAAACATATCCTCCGCATTTTTTTAAAAAAAATGTTAACATACCCTCCCACATGTTATTTATAAAATTTGACAAATTCACATATCCTGCAAAATTGAACATACCCTCCCAATTTCATTCACATATCACCCACATTCCCAAATTCACATTCACAATCAACATATAACCCCTCATTCACATATCACCCACCCATCATGCCCATTCACACCCACATGCGCACACATATATACCCCCTCACACCCACATGCACACACATATAAAAAGAAACACCCACATGCACACACGTCCGTGTTCGACGAACGACCAACGACGAGCTTCGGTCGTGGACGACGAAGGAAGGGCCGACGACGAGGTTCGGCCGTGGACGACGACCGGCCGAAGACGTCGTTCGGCCGAGGACGTCTTCGCTCGTGGACGACGATCGGCCGATGAAGCCGTTCGGCCGTGAGCGAGATAGAGAGAGAGGTGGCAGCCGGCGGTGGTGGAGGGGCGGCCGTGCACGCGGTGGAGGGGCCAGCAGAGGCCGTGCGCGCGGTGG